TATATATATATATATATATATGAATATATATATTAACTGGCAAATTCTGAGATGATTGGAGCTTTCGACAGAGGTTCTGATTTTTTTTTTTTTCCCTCCTTCTTCCTCTTTTGAATAACTTTATGCCGTGCCTTCTATTCTGAGAAGACTTGTATGTATTTCTGGCTAGTGTTTGGCAAACTCCTTATACCAAGCTGGGAGGGGAGGAAGTGGTAATAATTTCTGGGAGGAGGGCAGAACGGATTTGGAGATTTCTTTATTGGCTGCAATGTAGTCCCTCCTTTCTCCCCCCTCCCTGTCCACTTTAACTCTCACATAACTGAAAGAAAAAAAAAAAGCCACGGATTTTTTCTAAATATCCAGTTTTTTGTACTTTTTTCAAGAAAATGGAAAAAATAATTAAAAAAATCTCCATCTGGAGGAATGTTTGACGCTGTCACATCCTGAAACTGTTCTTTTTTGTTACAAGATGTTACCAGAATGTTGGAATGAGCTTCTGTTTCTTGTTTTCTGGTTGTTTTTTGTTTGTTTGTTGGGTTTTGTTTGCCACAATGTTGGGATCGTGGGTCATTGGAAGGGAGAATGGGCGTACGGTTGCGAGTGAGAAAATTGGGAATAGCCTAATTGCATCTTACCTCATGGAGGAATTTATTTTTTCAGGGATTTTTTGACAGTGCATCTGTATTGCGTTACAGCTAAGCTGGTTTGTAAAGGCTTCCTGTGCTGTTAGTGGTCTTTCTTTCTTTAAAGGAAAAAAATAAGATGCATCTTTCTGATTAGTACAAATGAGAGCTTGTTAGTGAGGAATGGTTCTGATTTCTGAGTTATGAAGGAAAATTAGTGACCCTATATATACTGATCCAATATTGGGACTTTGTTTATATTGCAAATAAATATTATTTTTTCTTTAAAAATGATGTTTGTGTCAGATGCTTGTCTAGCCTCTGCCCATATAAGGGCATGCTGCTCTTATCCGTTTTTTATGGTCAATTAGTATTCTTCTGTGACCATGAAGAGCATTTGCTGGGCAGTGTTCAAGTGTGGTGTTTGGTTTCATGCACAGCTTAATTTTTAAGACCTGTGGTAAAATGGAGAGGGGGAGGTGGGAGGGCGAGGAGAGGGATAAGGGGGTATTGGATAAACCAGAGAACAAAGAACAGCTTGAGAATGGGACTGGCTTTGACCCCAGCCATTCCTCTGCGCCAAAAATAAATAGATAAACTAAAGACACTTTTGTTCGCCGTTTAAGCGTGGCCTACAAAGGCATGGCAAAGCCTTGCCCACAACTGTTGTGTTAGCAGACTGTGTTTTGGTAGGAAAGCAAGAAGTTGTGGCCTTGTGGGCAGCCACCTGATGGCTTATCCTCTCGGAGAGCAGGAACCCCCTCCTGCATCCTTGGGGGAAAGGGGGTGCAGTGTGGGTTGCACGTGGGCTGTGCTGTCCCCCTATGCTCCCCAGGTGCAGTTTGTGGGAAATCTGGAGTGGCTGATGAGGGTGTTTTAGGGTGAAATGTGGCTCTGAGTGCAGCCCAGCTAAGGGAGCTGTGGCTCCCCACGACTCTGCTTGTAGCTGTGTAGGGCTGGGTTCCCCCCCACCCCTTGTTTTAACCTAAATGACAAGAAATTAAATGGCTATCTATTCAGTTGTTCAGTTCCTCACAGTGAGTATATGTGTCACCTTGTTCTTCTAATCCTAGGGCCTGAGCACCAAAGACCAGGTAGCTTAATTCCAGAAGGAGCTCAGGCTGGTGAGTGCAGAGGGGAGATAGAGGCTGAAGCAGGACCCCAGGGAGTGTGTGTGTGTGTGTGTGTGTGCATGAGTTTGTTTACTCCTTAACTGCATGATGGGGAATCTATTTATTGATTTAGAGGTCTGTTTGTGGCTAAACAAATGAAAATCTACCTGGTATGCAGGGAAAAAAAAGACCTCTAGGTTTTACCTTGTAATTACGTGGTAGAATACATCTTGAGGAAGATAGGAAACCATGCTGGAGGCTGTGCACTGGCGGGCAGAATAGCTTGTCAGGTGTATGGCTATATTTGCTTCCATCTAATTTCCTCTTAGGATTTTCTACTAAGGTGTGGAGTAGGATATTAGCAGTTAGCATTAGCTCTGTAAGCTCATTTGTGTGGTAGCTGAGTGGTAGCTGGCTGGAACAGCACAGCTGCTGTTTTGCCATGGCTTTGGAGGAAGGGCTGGTGTGCAGGCAGCTGCCAGGCTGCTCCTCTGGCAGCTCCCTGGGGTACCTGATCCTGGGAGATGCAAGTCTACCCTGAGTGTCCCAGCACTGCTGCACTCAAAAGCCCTATTGCCAAAGGAAGGAGATGACTTGTCTGAAAATCATCCTGCCACCTGCAAGTGCTCTTTCCTCCAAGACCCAAAGCAGCCTTTTCCAAGCTTCCTGGCCTCAACAGCAGGGAGCAGCCAGCCTGGCTGGTCTTCAGGCATCAGTGTTTTACAAATGTCTTGCACCCGTGCTTCTTGGCTCCGAGGGGTTTCCTTGGAGACCTGACATCCTGTAATTTAGTGAGGCGAAGAGAACTGACACCAGGCGAGGGGCAGTGCTGGAGAAATAGTTACAGAGGGAAAAGAGAACATGGGGTCTGTCTACACTCTCTTGCAGAGGCAGGCACGAGCATGGCTGAGCGTAGGAGCACGGGCTGAGTGAGAAAGCTGGTTATGTTCAGAGCAGTGGAATTTGGCAAGGAGATACAGCTTCCCACACGCAGCAGGGAGAAGCTCCTCGGTTAACCCATTGATTCCAGATGAGCTGCTTGTAAGATGCTCTGTGGTGTTCTGCTCTACAAAACCAGGTAATCTCCTGTTTGGGCACAGAGATCTGCTGTGCCTGGGTTTTCACTTGTGATACCACAAGTCCTCAGGCAATACAAATGGGAATTTATCTTTTTTCCCAATGAATGACTTTGTCTTAACTTCTCATTTGAACAGTTAGAGGGACCACAGGGCCTAGATGCTTTAAAAAAGTTTCTCTCTCCTTTTCAAGTCATGGCAAAAGCCCAAAGCTCTAAACACAGAGCTCAGCTTCTGCAATTCCCCATTGGGAAGCCCAGCCTCAAGAGCTCTATGAGCTTGGGGAAGGGGCTTTGTGATTACTTGTAGCTTTTTTTCCCTTGCTTACGTCCCCTTCCCTTGGTGTGGCAGTAAACACGTTCTGAGCATGATGCAAGTCAACCTCTGCAGCTCTGAACTTGTCTGCTGTTGCATCACCTGGAGACGCACGTGGAAAAGGAGACTCTTCCTGCTACCATCTGAATTTGGGTGCTCACATTTCCAAGGTAACCAGGTTATTTGTGGGCTGTTATAGTCTTGTTTTATCCTTTGTGTGAGCAAATTAGGCTATTTGCAGTGTTGCAAAGGCACTCAAATAGTTCAGCTAATGAACACGTCCCTGTATTTACAGCCAACTGGCACAGGCTGTGATAGTCATGCTCTGAGGTGCTTGTAAGGAGTGTGAAAGCAGGCTTTCTTCCTTATTTTGTGCCATTTGCTCCCGTTCCACCTCAAATCTGTCTCTTAATTGTGTAGTTGGGCTGGCTAAATGTAATCTGGGATGAGAGGATGGGTGAGGGAATGTTCAGCAGGGAGAGCAGCTCCTGGAAGTCCCATTCAGCTTCCACGTCCTGTTCCCTCAAGTGTCTTTATTCAAACTGTGCAGTTGCCCTTTCTCCTGGGTTTGTCACCCCACCTCCTTGCTGTGTCTCCCAGCAGCCCAGGCACAAAGGATGGGCCATAGTGAGGCCTCCTGGAGCTGCCCTGTCCGGTTGGGCACTGTGGGGTCCAGGCTGCAAATGTGGCTCGGCAGCAAACGCGCCTGTTTGCTGGGGGCCATGTTTGCGTTTGAACAGCTGTCTGCGTGGCATCCGTGTGGGAATCGCCTTAAATTGGCGGGAAAAGGTGAGGCGTCGGACCTCAGGACAGCTGTCCCCAGGGTCCTGCCTCACCACACGCTGCTCGGGGGGCACCTGAGGGGACCCCGCCTGGTGGCCTGAAAGGCTTGTGGCCGTCACAGTGGTACAGAACTGCGGCTGGGTCCTGTGGAGGAGCTGGGAGGATGAACAGCCCCGGCAGGAAGGCCCTGAGCCGGCCGAACGCCTCAGCCTGCGATGGCGGCAGGGCCCTCGGCAGCCGCGATGGAGGCGGCACCTGTGCTCAGAGACTGAGCTGCTTGCCATGGAACTGTGAGTTTCTGGAGCCTGTGGGCTCCTCCCTGACACCTCCCGGCTTCCCTGCTCCGCCGTGTTGTGATCCTGTGTTTGGGCCGGGAGCTGGGTCAGGGCGGAAGCTGCGGTTTCAGCTCTGGTGGCTCTGTCAAGGGTTGGGGTTTAATTACGGGTTGGGAACAAATCCCGTGGCAGGCGCAGCCACCCGGGCCAGCTGGATGGCCATGGGCTGCTGGGACCCTGTCTCTGTGGGCCGTGTGGGCCCCTCGGTGCTGGGGCAGTGTGGAACCCCCTCCCCTGCCTGGGGCAAGGCAAGACCACCAGTGCTTTGCAGGCCTTTCTTCCTCCCTTCCAGTCGTGCTCATTGCTGAAATTGCTCTTGTTCTGCATTATCCTTATGTGCTTTCCCTGATTTCTCCACTACCTTCTGTTTCTTCAGATAGCTGGGAGTTGAGGTACTCCCACCTGGCAGCGGTTCCTGCAAAGCTGTGGTCCTGTAGGAGAACAGAGCCCTGGCCCCATTTCTTCTTGGAGACATTGAGATGTTGGAAATGGAGATGAGCTGTTCTGTGGGGAGATTTGCAGGGGATGATATGTGTGTTACTTATGTGCTGCCCAGTGGTACGAGCGATCCCAGAGCATGTAGGGCCTTAAGAAGTATTTGGTGAGGGACCCAAGTCTGGAGAGAAAAGGGAATCCAGACAGATTTATTTATTTCCTTACTTTCTTTCCCTGGAGAAACATCTGGCTTATGTAAAGCCATTTGCTGGGTTTCTCACTGCTTTATTTTGAAAGTCTCTGCATTCGGGCACTCTGCTCTTCTCATCTCTCTGCTCTTCTCCTCTTCCATCACAGCCTCAAGGGCAGATTCTTCATGATTTGGGGTTTTGCTTTTATGAAGTTTACTCTTTGTTTCTGGCCTGTGTTGTCTTTTTCTTTTATTTTCTTTCCTTTTCTTGTAAAGGAGTGCTCCAGTTTGACTTGTGGTTTTGCCTTGTTTTCTTCTGAGAGGTGAATTGTTGTGATAAGCCCTGCAAAAAGTGGGAGGGAGCAGACTGGTGCGTTGGCGAGACCCTGGTCACTGATATGGCATTAGTGAAAGCCCTGTGCCAGCAAGAAGCTGAGCTCTGAGGTTTGATTGCGGATATAACATCCTAAAAGCACAGCATTTTTCAGTATGGGAGATTTTGAGCTGAATTATGCATGAGGGGGTGCAGTTAGAGGGATAAGCACTTTACTTCCTTTTGCCAATGCAGCTCTGGATTGGACCCGTCATTTTCTTGTGCATTTATCCTGGCAGTGAAGTGCTCAGTACCTGGTGAAAGATTTACAGCTCTGCTCCAGTGGTGCAGTTTGTTTGGGTCTTATTCTAAATTTGCCACTTCCTCTCCCTGGGTAGCTGATTCCCTGTTGCTTGGACCAGGCAGTGGTCCAGGCAGGATCATACCCCTGAGAGCCAAGCAGGATCTTCTCAGAGCTGTGCAAAACAGGATGCTGGATGTTAGCTTGAGGGGATTCAGGGTGCTGAGACTGCAGAAAGCTGCCCTCTCCTCTGACAGAACAACAGCTCTGCTCTCAGCTCTGTCTCTGTGTCCTCTCTATCATTCTTCACCTTCCCTCTGCCCCTATTCTGGCAGTTGCCTTTGAGTGATCCTATGCTGGAGGTTGAGGCAGGCTCCTGCATGTCTTGGCCTTGCATCCTGTTGGCAGAAAGCTGAGAGTGAGAGATGTTTGGGAAAGTTTTGTGGTGGTTTTTTTGTTTTGTTTGGGTGTTTTTTCTTAAAAAAAAAAAAAAAAGAAAAACCAACCAAAAAACCAAGAAGCTTCACTATTCATTCATTCCCCAAATAGCTTTCCCTTTCATTGGACAACATCCTCCTGCTAGGACAGTCCAAGCCTGTTCTGACAGACAGCTTATCTGCTTTACAGCTCTGACTGCTTCCTCTGTCTCTCCTTTGTGTGGGAGGTGTTTTGTCTTCCCAAACTTCTGCTGACTTCAGTGGGTGCTCGCCTGTGCCCGAACACGCACTGATAGTGCAGCTCAGTGCCGATGTTCGCCGCTGGTTTTTATTTATGTCCCTGCAGCGTGTTTTTCTTTGCAAAGGGAAGGACTCGAGTGGCTTGGGGAGAGCAGGAAGGTTGCTATTGAAAGTTAGTGAAGCTGAGGTTCTCTGTTCACCCTGTCTGGGTCCATTCTGCAAGTCCTACTGCAGGACATGGTGAAGGCACTGGTGTCGAGGGGTGCCACGCTGGTGGGGGTCCAAATTTGGGCCTGATCTGCACAAGAACTGTATCTGAAAAAGCCTAGAGCAGCCAGCTTGCTGCTTTGCTGTGTTGCCAGCTGCTAAGGCAGTTTAGAGAAATTCCCAGCCTAGTTTTAAGTCTGGTAAAAGTGGAGAGGGGTGTGTGTGTGTGTGTGTGTGTGTGTGTGTGTGCATAAAGCAAGGGTTACAAATGTTGGTATTTTTAGCAAAACAAAGTCAGTCAGGTTTGAAGCTGCGGTTTGCCACTGTGCGTTTCTGATACAGGATCAACACTTTCCCTGAGATACAGTTTCCAGTCTACCAAACCATGGATGATGGTTAGTTTTCTTGAATCTCCAGCACTTCTGTGAGTCTGTTCCTTCTGGAGGTACATTGGGGGGTGTTTATTGTGGTTTTAACTTTTCTCCCTGAGCTGTGGGATCCTTCCTACTGGCCATGCAATGCCACCACATGTCCAGTGCTCCTGCATGTGCAGCGGCGGCCCAGGGATGTTTGTAGGTCAGGGATGACAGATACTGAGCAGGACTCATCAGTGCTATTAATTAATTGCATTCCAACGGCAGCGAAAGCAGTAGCAAGAGTAATAAACAAATTATAATCTACATTATGAAGCTGACAGGTGCCACCCACTCATTACCTGTCTTTAACCACTCTCATTACTACCCAGTCTTTGTGGGAACTAATCTTGCTGCTCAGTGTCCGACTTGTTCATTTAATGCCATTATCTGAAGCAATCGGCCTCTCCCTGTGAAAGAAGAGGAAGGTGCTTTTCCTGAGGCTTGTTCTCTGGGAGCTCTGAGGAGGAGGCTGAGGGAGCGCTTTGCAAAAGCACGGTGTGGCTGGGAACTGAAATCCACAGGGACAATCTGGGGAGGAGCTGGGGGTGGGTGGCAGGGTGGAAGACTGTAACTAGGAGGAAAAGTCTGCACTATTCATCTCCATGGGATTGAGGACTAATATCCAGTGAAAGGGATATTAGGAAGAGCCACATTTTTTTTTCTCTCCGGATGTTTTCCAGGGTTCGGAAGCAAGCTGGGTTGCTGAGTAATGACAGTTCTCTTTGTGGCTGCCCCAGGGCATTGCAGGAGGAAGTCCTGATAGTGTTTCTGTGGGGATCTGCTCAAGCTCCCCCTGGGAAAAAGAAGCTGTGCTCCAGGAGTGGTCTGGCGTAGGTGGAGTTCAGCAGGGTCAGGGATGTTCAGTCAGAGGAGCCTCCTCGGTGCCTGGCTGCTGATATTACCTTGTCTCTGTCCATACTCAGTGTTAATGACTCTGCTGTGCCTGAGCTGCAGCTGTTCTCCTTTCCTCGCTGACACAACTGGGAGCCTTCCTGGGGAAGATTATTGAAGCCTGGAAGCCGATGAGTTGGGCTGAGAGAGCAGATGGGAAAATAGGTCTTTTTCCAGATACTCCATGGGTGGTTGGACCCTGGCCAGCCAGAGGTCCTGTTGTGCTCTCAGAGTTTTGGGATATGTCATGGGGGTCTCTAATGAGTAAACAATAAGCTGAAAGCTGAGAAATTAAGGCTGAGAGGTGAAGGGCCAGCTTTCCCAATGGAGGATTGGCATCAGTCAGATGCAACAAGGGCCTGTCAAAAGCCAAAGCTGTTGAATGTGTCTGTTAATGATAAAGAGGAGTAAGTGGCAGATGAAGAAGTTTGCTGCTGACTGTTCAGAGTAGCAAAACCCAAAAGCTGCACTGAACAGCTGTAGGAAGTCCTTGCAATGTGGAGTGGTGGGGTTATAGCATAGGATGCTGAGAAAAACAAAGCCATCCAGTGGGAGGAGGGAGCCATCCTAATCTAAAATGCAGTGCAACAAGCTCAGAAAGGGATAATGCCACAAGGGAGAGAGATCTCAGAAGTGCAATGAACTGTGCTATGGGAGCAAGGCTTGATTCTGGGGATGGTCAAAAACCCAAAGCCAGTCACCTTCTACAAGGAGAGCTGAGAACAAACAGTATAAATGCACTGTATGAATCTGTGGTGAATAAAGGCTTTTGTAGGCTTGGGAGACGTTGGAGTAAGTAATGCCATGAAAATCCATTGAGTGGACTTTTAAATATCAATACACAGTATCTTGCTGAGAAAATCCCACAACTGCAAATAGCTGGAGCCCGGGAAAGCGTTTGTAATGTAACGCAGCTACATCCTTGGCCTGTTCTTATACTCTTCTCCAGGTGCTGCTGTCAAGTCCCATTGAAAACAGGACACAGGGCAGGATGAAGCTTGATCCAACAACAATTAGTGGCTCTGATTCCTCTGCTTTTCCAAGAAGATACTGTCCTGGAATGAGCTGTGTGTGGCACACTGTGGTCGTGTGTGTCTGAGGAGCTTTTATGGAGGCTGGAGACACTGAGGTCTCTCTCTGTTCAATAGAGCTGCTGAGGTGCATGGCTTGAGGAGAAAACTCCTGAGGTTATTGTACATCTGTTATCAAATGGACATTGTAAACAGACAGCCAAAGCATTGAGAAGGTCTTCATACCAACAGGAACATCTTATTCTTCACCAGCACCAGGCACTCTGAAATGAACAGATTCCTTAGGCAATGGAAAGCTATTCCCTGGGTCAACAAACCCCACCTCTTGTCTCCTCTGAGGAATGTTTGGGCAAGAAACCAACTCCAAAAGGATTTGCTTTCTTCAACCTGTCCTCTCTCATCTCAAGTACTCTGCTTCTGGTTAAGAAGGACTGGATGATGTGGAAGTATCTGGATGGGTCAGGCCAACTCATCCTGCCCTCAAAGCCCTCGTGTGCTACTTAAACCCACACCACCACAGTGGGGCGAGACACTGTGTGGGAGTGTGAGACAGTTCCTAATGTTCCTGTTGATCAAATGGCCCACTGAGTCTCCTGATCTGCTGTGGTGATAAGTCATAACAAGGACTCTCTCTTAATCCTCATTATCCTCTGCTGGCGCTTCCTGCCCACATACACTAGATATTTCCTATCAACAGGGAGTAACCTCTGTAGAAGATAGGATCAGATTCCCAGGAACCAGGCTGTAGTAAGAGTGAAGAAAGAATGAGGAAACAGTCCTAATTTGAGGCTAATCTTATAAATACAGGGCTGGATACAGACAATAGGAAGAGATATGTCAGGAGAGCTTTAGCATTTATTTAGGAAAGGATCATCTTTTTCCAGGAGTAGCCTTAATTGTAACTTATGATGTGATGAAGTTGCTGTTTGATGTCAGCTTCGGCAGAGGGAAAGAGACAGATTCTGCTTTGTGTCACCAGAGGAGGAGTAGCCCGAGAAAAATACAGAGAAAAGTGTTTTTAAAAGTACTTTTTTGTCACTTGTGTACTGATTCAAGCTGCATGGATGGAATGTTTAATTTTCCCAGTTTTTATTCAAATAAACCACTAAATAAGAAGGAAAAGGCTGTGTGGTTTTTCCCAAAGCAGACATGCTAATGTGTGTACCCATTAGGTATTTAAAGTTGCATGGCATTGCTGAAAATGCAGAAACCCACGAATCTTCTAGCATAAGGGGATTATTGGGGTGGGGTGTTTCTTTCCTCTACCTAGACCCATGGCTGGAGCCTGTACCAGAGACTTGGCCTGTCCTTCATGCTCACCTTTTATCTGGGCAGGGTGGAGTGTGCTGGAGCTGTTTGTGGTGAGTAGTTCTCTACAGACAGTCACTTTTATGAACCTTTTTTAGACAACCTGTTAAAATGAAGAGCAGCCTTCTGCCTGTCCCTGTCCTGTCCACATCCCAGCACCGTGCAGGGAGCCTGTGATGCCTCTCTGTGTTTCATTGCAAGCAGGGTGAGAGCGGGTGTGTGTTTGTGAGAAACAAGTCGCCTTTACGGCGGATGTGAGGGTCCCTCACCACGTATTCATGTACAGCAGGTGTTGTAGCACAATCCCATAACCCTGTGAATGGCTACAGTGCAACAAGGTGTGGACACTGGTTGCTCATCCCCACCCTGAAGGAGGTGTTGTAAGTTCCTGAAAAATGCCGTCATGCCCTTGCGGGTTTGGACTCGTTTGGCTTTTCACTATCTGTCCTGCTCCCCGGTGTGTGCTGGGGTTGGTGTTCTGTTTGTTGCCCAGCTCCGGGCTGGTCACTGCTTCTTCCTTCAGAAGGTTTACAGGCCTTGCCTTGGATCAAGTTTATGAAGCTGCAGTGATGTACAAACCCCTGTTGCTTCCTGGAAACTTCCTGTTCCTTTTAGATAGGCCCACTTGGACAGGAGATTTCACAAGACCTGTCCCAGGCTTCCTGTATGAGTTAGGCCAAGGCTTTTCAACCTTCCATATGCCATCTGTATCTTAGTTTCCCACTTCCTATTGTTTCTGGCCCTCCCAGGACAGATTTTTTTTTCTGAAAGTCCTCAGAACAATGTGGACTTCCATTCCTTTCCCACGTGGCTGGCTCTGCTGTTTTCTCTTCACCATAGCAGGTTATGTGATCTAAGGGTTCTACTTTAACCCGAGACAGGGCACATTTTGACTCTGATGGCAGGTTTGGTTTTCTTCTCTGTTTAAGATAAACTCTGTCAGGGAGCAGGGCTGGCTCAGAGGACATATACAGTGGTGTGGGCACAGCAGATCCTCTCTGTGCTAAGTTTACTTCCGTGAAGGGTTGCTAAGTAGTGCCTACGGGTGGTTGATGCAGCTGGATAGTGAACAGAGTGTAATTGCTTCTGCTATCTTCTGGGATGTGCTTCCAGCAAGTCACGACAGCTGGTAACGTGCTTGTAGCATCTATTAACCTTGTAATTTTATAAGTGGTGCTTTAATCCTGCCTGGTTGCCAGTCAGGTCTGGAAACATCTACTGTGGCTCTCCATGGTCACTGCTAAAATGCTGTGCCTGGTCACTGAGTTTGCTGCATTTTGCTGTCACCATTGTCGTCTCCTCCTTGTCAGATGCTCCACTCCTTTGCACAGGTCAAAGCCTGCCCTTGTTTATTAGTTTTCTCCCTGAGTTCTGCAGAGTGGATTTTGAAAGGTTGATCCTTTGCTGGCCAGGTGCTGCTGTGTGATATTTCCCCCTTACAGATGACAGATACCCTGCAGTGAAGAGCTGTGGTGCTGAAGGGGTCAGCATTTCTGCAAAGCACTGAGTCACCTGGTGTGGCACTGGAGCTTGGGAAGGTGGAAGAACTGGAGCAAGAGTTTGGGCTTGCTGCAGAAAGAAAATTCAAGAACTCTTGTGTGTGCTGTTGGGATCTGGTCTGCTGCAGAAGGGGAGTCCCTGCTGCTGTGGAAGGGACATACCAACCTCAGGGTGCTCAGTGAGGCAGGGGATGGATGGAAAGGGATGTCCTGCACTGGCTGTGAGCAGACCCTGGACTAAGCCACCAGCAGAAAGTTGGTGGCAGAGCAGGGATCGATCCCTGAGCTTTTAACAAACCAGCTTTCACCAAACCTCATGGCTCAGCCTTCTTCTTCCAGGCTTTCTGTGAGCACAGGTGTGTCGAGTCAGAGTACCCAGCTGCTGGAATCCTGATCTGTACCCATTCTCACCTGGGAAGGTGTCCCCTGGAGAACTGCAGGCAGCAGTATCCTACTGTGTGGGAAGCCCTGAAGAGGAGAAGGCTTGGCCAGGAGAAGGTGGGGAGCACACAGAGGATCTTGGGGTGGGTTTTCAGGACAGGCTGACTTCCAGGTCCAGCTCTTGGTCTTTACCAGGACTTGGCAGTCCTGGTAAATGCTCTTCACAGCACTGGGAGGGACTGGTGTTCAGTGAGCAGGGTGGGGTGGACGCTCTGTGCCAAACTCTCACTTGTCTCCTTTCTCTTTAGGGCATTCTTCATTCATTAAACTTGCTACCAAGGCAGCTTTGGTGGAAGTAATCAGTCTCCTGAAAGTGGAGGCCTTTCCTGGGTGAGCACCCAGTGTTGAGGTTTGGGTGAACTGCTGTGTTTTTGGAAGATCAGAGTGGGAAACGTGGGGAATTTTGTTGTGTGCTCCATTACCAGTGACTGTGGACAAGAACACAAAGCAACAAACAACACCAAAGAGCAGAGAGCCAGTTTTAATTGCCTGCAGTCAGATGGTGAATGGAGCAGAGCTTTGAACAGAGAGCGCAGCTTGCCTCTAAGTTTGTATGTCTTCCTCCTTCCTGGCTCTGAACATGACTTCAGCTGTGGCTCCAGAATAAGCAGCGGGAGCCAGTTTAGGGTGGGCACCATCTCTGCCTTCCACTTTCCTTAGTGCCCCAGTCAGCAGGGCCGTGATCCCTGGGCAGCACCCCTGTGGCATGGCTGTCATGCAAAATAACGAGCCAGCAAGTCCTGACTCCTTATTTATATTTTGGTGAAGGTTTTTATCATGTTTCCTGCAGACACGGACGGAGAGGAACGGGTGGTTCTGCTGTTGGCAGCCCTTTCTGATAAAGGCCAGTGGCTTTTTGCAAGTCTCACAGCTCTTGAGTTGCTGTTGGGTCTCAGTATATCCCCTTTTGCTGCTTCATGTTGCTGCTTCTCCTGTGCCTGCTGGAAGACCGGTGTCTTCTATGCAAGGGATTTTTAAGAAGCTGCTTAGTCTGTTTACTTTTCATCTTTATAACCCTTATTCTGTTTGTGTGTTTTTTATTCTTCCTCTATCCCAGAAACCCCTCGTTTACCCTACCCAGGTAGACAAAATTTACAGGAATCTTTAATTTGTTAATTGAAACTGCTTCTTGCTGTGCATGGAAACAACAACAACAAAAAGCAAACTACAACTGCAACACAATTGAAGTGTAAACAGGAAAACATACAAAAAAACCTTCATTTTGGAGACATAGTCCCTTGAGAATGTAAAACCTTCTAGGCCTGGAAGGTCTGTGAGTCAAGTATCAATTGGTCTGATGTACCAGAAAAGGAAATGTTTAACTCTTTTATTTATGTCCAGGAGAGCTCAATGAAGCCTTCAGGTTAAAAAACAGCTCCGGAGGATTCAAAGGAAAACAGCTCATAGGGCTTCCGGCTGCATATGCAGCACTTTAAATTTAGAGCTTCATGGGAATGTTAATAGTTTATTCTCAGCAGTGTCAGTGGAATGAGTCTGTAATTTGGAAACTTTTGCATGACTTTCAATTTTAAAATAAAAGAGAATTCTGGCCTAGATTTTAAAAAATGACTATGGAAGGTTCCCCTAAACCAGTGGTTAGATAGCCCATAAACAGTGTCTAGAAAAGCAGATCCCTTAAGGCCATTTCCACTTGGAATCCAAATTTATTAAGTGATCTTATGTTGGAAAGTCACCATGTGATTTGGGCAACCAATAATTGCTGAATTATCTATTAGCTAAAATATATTCAGATAAACTGAATATTTGAACATGATGAGTAAAGTCATCAAAACTGAAGTCTGTTCATGGCTAATTTGTGAACTGTCAAAGGAGCTCAGTCATTTAATGAGCATTTGGTTCCAAGCTGTGCACCTAGATCTAGTGTCCAGCTGCAAAGGAGCAAAATGTTCAGTTAAGTTCAGTATTGATTGTTTATGAAGATCAGATATTATTATTATTGCTTTATTTGGAAAGGACTTTGGAAGACTTTGGAGTGTCTTTTTTATTTTAATCCCTTCTGGCAGGGTGCCAGCAGGTTGGATCCAGACAGTTATCCCCTCTGCACTTGGTCAGACAGTTAACCAGGAGTTTCTTTGGTCTGGAAGTTCAAAGGGGGTCCTTGTCTCTGCTGCACTGGGACCCTGCCAGGCAGGACAGCACTTTTCAGCTCTGTGACTTGAATTAGGGCAAAGGAAGAACAAACTGTCACTATGAGCTGTTCCAACCAACTCCCTTCTTCTGTCAACTGCCAACCATGATTTTATGTTTAATTATTTGCATTACATCATTAGTCCTGTGCTAGGTGTTGTACATGGCTAATGATGCAAAGCCTACCCCAGGCCTGGGCACTGTACAGGCTTCCCTGTAGGGCGGATGTGCCAAAGTGTTTGAAGTGCTCAAGGAGGGGAAGCTGGCAAAATCTCCCCTACCTCCTCCCCTTGGAATAGTAGGATATTTAACATGCTAATTTAGCTTACTTATTAAAATGGAATATTTTTCTTCAGAATTAAACCCTGCAGTGGTTAGAATCTCCTTTATGCTTTCTGTGCCATGTGTCTGAGCAGGACAATTTTGAGGGAGACCCTGCCAGATGTCCACTGGGCTCTTCCCACCTCCACAACCCCAGCATCAGACTCTCCAGAGGATAAAAGTCAAAGTATTTCTTCTAAAGGTGCCTGGTTTACAAGCAGATCTCCTCCCTCCCAGAGCCTGTGGTGAGGGCTGGCTGCTTGTCATTGCCCCCGTGTTGTTTCCGTGTCCTCACAGCCTGTGTGTACACACAGATTTCCACTTGTTTTTTTATCACGTTCTCCTTTCTGAGCTTCCCTTTAGACTGTTGATAAACTGCATTGCTTAACATGGGCGAGG